AATAAAAACACTACGGCCGAATATTTATTGAATAAATCTTACGGAAGCGCACAATACATAAGAAGTATAGGAATTTGACGCACTGCGGTCGGGAGCGAACTGTGCTGTTTTGAGTGTTTAGCGTTTAAAGTTAGCAGCGCAGCGGCGATTTCGTCTCCATTCCACCACCCGTTTTGAGTGAAAATATTCAATTTTAAATATCTAGGGTAATCTGCTCCAAGCACCGATTGATAGAAGTAATGATTATATTCAATGCACGTTCCACATGTACAACGAAAAACATTCCGATGCTCTCCATCTGTTCACATTAAGCCACATGTCCGAAATTAACAAAAAAAAATGTATGGGAAATCATCCTTGACTTACGATCAATGTTACTAACAAATTGGCAATTTCACAGTGACCTTAGGTAAACTCCTTACATGGTGAAAATCTCAATTGCAATTGGCAAATGACTCATTACAATTGTCTTTCTCTTTTACATGAAATCTGGGTAAAGATGTGACAAAATGATGAGATCACACACTCAATTGATACAATTTTTTAAACACCATCTGGCAAAAGCTTTCCTCCGTTGACTTGCAAGCAGGAACCTCTAAATCTGACGTTTTTAGAATTGTTTCCTTCCTGCAATTACGTATATTTTATCTAACCAGTGGCGGATTATCCGAACCAAGGACTGATCAATCAAGCGATGAACTTATTTTTCTACTGGTGAATTTTCTTTTACTTAGGTAAATCACAAACAAATAAAAAAATTAAAAAAACACTTCATCAACAGAACACAGAATCTGAACGTAAAAAGCCAAAAATAAAATGTTGAAAGTGTGATTGAGAAATATTGAAAAGACTCTTTTTCAATGAAAATATTATTTTTAACATTAGCACTTAGCATTGCGCATGCGCACACCTGATGTTTAAAATATGCGATATGTTTGCCTTTACAAGAAGAATCTTTGGTTAAAATTTCAAAAAAATATCTTTGTTTATAGCGTGTATTTTATTCGCCGCAATAATAAAAAATGTAAGATTTTTTCGTTGGTTTTTAATTTTCATGGGATACCTACATTTTTGGCAGGATCGGAATTTTGTGTGCCATCTTCTTGAGGTAAGAACTTTGGAAATCTTACAAAATCAAACAGGGCATACACAAAAATGTAGGTCGCAAGCTATATCCATCCTTCTATCAGAGGCCGGATTTAGGCAGGGGCTTTAAGGGCTGGAGCCCAGGGCCCCCCGCTGGCACGGGGCCCCGTACCGACCATTGCGATAGTGATTAGTAAAAAGAATGAACCAATAAGATGCTAAATTATGCTCAATTTTCTGACTTTATTGATAGAGCGTGTTTGTGTAACTATTATTTTTCGGACGATGTTCACGAATACCTACTTAATTAATTAATGGATTCAACTTAAGTCTGACTGCGAATCAATCCGAATCTTATGACTCTTGCTGCAATTGGTTGTATTTTAACATTGTCAATCACAAGTTGTGAAGCTGAATGAGCTTTCACGAGAATGGCTTACATTGAAAACAGCAACTAATGACTAATGAAAGATTAAACTTTCATTCCATCCTGGTCATGAATCTCAATTTAAGAGTTTAGTGAAAATGGTAAAAAGTCATCTGTGTTAAGAGTTTCGTATAATGGTACATAATATACTTACTTCAATATTTTATTTTATAGCAGATGGTAAATTGACCCTTTAACAAGTTTAAATGAGTCGCTGTTTAACCGTCTGGGTAGATAAGGTGATCACTTTAACCGTTAGGGTAGATAAATTGAAACAGATGATTATGCATTCTAATGACATCTGCCATTCTTATTTCAAATAGGATCCGGAGCACGATGTAAAATGACATTCAGAACATATGACAATTCCGTTTCTAGCGAAACGACCGCGACGGCAGAACCTAAACTTACTATTTTTGAGGTCTAAATTAAATTTAAGGTTGTCAGAAGCTTTACAATGATTGATATGGTTTTTGCTATAATAAAAGTTTTGCTTTATCCACCACGATAAAGGGAAACTAACCATTTCTCAATGGTTAAAATGTCGCTTTATCGTCTTATATAATAAATATTACTACTATTTCTTTGCATTCATATTTACTATGTATTTAGTGCGTTTGCCTTACCTGTAATTTTACTAATAATATTTCGAAGAAATAGTAAAAATGGAAATGAAGATATTTTTCGATAACATGTAAGTTTGGTCCCCTGAAAATGTTAGCCCAGGACCCCCTGAGGCCTCGGTCCGCCCCTGCTTCTATCTGTTATAGTTACTGAGAAAATTTTTCTTGAAATAAACTTTTGGGACGAGTTTTGGGACTTTCTCTCAAACGATCCATTTTGGTCCTTCGATTTTGTTTGGTAAAATGCATGTACATATACACTGGCATATACCTACACACTTAATTGTCACATTAATTGTTAACACGCTCCTAAAGCGAGTTCATGATTTCGGACTTTCTGTCCGTCCGTCCGTCTGTATGCATGATAACTCGCAAACGGTTTCGAATTTTCCAATTATGTTGCAAGTATTATGTTCATCATCAACCAAGGAAGAACTAAATTTTCCTCGAAATTTTCAGTGAACCGTTTGCTATATTTGTTCCAAGTTTATTAGAGCTTATATTAAGTAGATGCTGTTTACTAACAAGCGAGCTAACAAGGCATACAATTAAAAACAACATTAGAGAATAATTAATGCTATTAAATAGACATTAGTAGAGTTAACAAGAAATTAACTGCATTTTCATTAACTGCATTAACACGCTTTTCTCTCCTCCAAAAACTATATTTTAATGAGGAAAATGGAAAACCGAGTGGAAAACTGTTCATATGGTCATAAAGTAGAATCAAAATCTAAATGAAATACCGTAAGATACATTCGTCCTTTGAGAATACATTATTTTATTTATTCTCATAGGTAGAGTATTAAAATCTTTTCCAATGAAATGGTTTCTTGAAAACTTTCTTTTCATATAATTCCGAGTACCCAATTGTTATTAAAGTAATTTTCTGTCCAAACGAAGATAAAAATAATAAAAAATAAAAATAAGTAATAATAACTATATTGTCTAACAGCAAAAAATGCTGATTCCAAAACATATCTTAAATAAGAAAGTATATTTTACTCTAAAAAGTAGCATAATAAAGTCTCTTTTCAAAAATATACACATAATGGATATACTAAAAAATTCAATATTGATTATTCTAAAAAAATTTTTTAATTGAACCTTTTTTGAATTTTTTTCATCTTTTTCAATTTTTTTGAATCACTTGAATTTTTTTAATATCATCCCTAGTGTTATATTTTTGAAAAGAGAATTTAATATGCTATATTTTTAGATTAAAATATTGAATATACATGCGCCATTAAAAAGATAGGTTAGGTTCGATAACTTTCTTCCCTGACCCCGTATACTAATTTTGAAAACGGCAGAGTATTCAGCAATCATCGTAAACAAACTTTTCTAATAAACATTTTTCTGTATCTGTATATGTTTAACTTTTTTCTCGATTTTTTGAACTTATTATTATGAATTTGGCAATTTTTCCCCTTTTCTCTTAAGCGAACGAATATTTTCAACTTTTGATATTACCATTTTAAGTTTGACTCAAAAAGAGAACCATGACGCCTATAGGTATCACTTTTTTGGTAGCACTAAGAATTACCTTACAAAAGAGTCGAAGTGGGACACTCTGTACATAACTACAATAAAAAGTGCTAAATGACCATAACAAAAATTAACAATAGCATCAATAGTACTCATAACAAAATAATAATATTAACAATACGAGATAAATAGCCAATACTAAACGTAGTTTCATTTATTTACCTCGCTCCAGAGTAATTGTAATGCAGTCCATAGAGCGCTAATAAAACTCTGATTACTCCCTGGCAATTAGACCCCTCATTTGTGATCAATTTCATGCGAGGCCAAATAAAGAGACAACAAGGACAAGTATAGGTAATGGCAATATAAATTAGGCAACTTTAAATACCTACTCCATTCAGGTAAAATAAGTTTAATTAAATAATTAATTTCCAATTAAGTTAACCTATTTTTTTGAGTGAACACTATAAAAACAGTCACTGTATACACTGTGTCCAAGATGAGGATGTCTATCATGGGAATCTTGGAAACCATAGCGGATAGACGATGGTCAAATTACAGAATAGTTCCGCAATTAAAGAGTTATTATGATGCTGTACAGAAATCCAGAAAATTCCGATTACTTCCGAAGATATGCCAGAAAAATCGAAATTTGTTGATTCTGTTTATTTTTTTCTGTTGTTTGAATAGATACAAAAAATAAAAAACACTGTCCCATTGCCACCACTGAAATAATTTCAATGCAATGTTTCGTTTCGGAGAAATCATCATCAACTTTATTATTGAATATGGTCCGTAAAAAAAGGATATACTGTATGTATTGGGTAGCATTTTTTATTAAAGTACAATGATAGGTATATGGCACACACAAAAAAACAAAAGTTGGAAACTATGTTAGTTTCAACAAGATGGTGCACCCACACACAATGCCCTAGTCGTGCGAGTACACCTATTTTCAATTTTCCAGGAAATTTGCCACATTTCATGAAGTTATGTGTTGTATTTTGTAACTATGAGGGTTACAACAATTCAACCAGAGTGGTATGGGTTTTGATACCTTTTTTGCGTAACATTGGTGTTTTTTCAAATACGCAACCCATAAACACAATATTTATACAATCTCGATTGCTTAAAAATTAATACAATTTCTTCAGGTGTAATACTAAACGCCTACATGGTTATCACGCAATCTGCACTGAAGTGTGAGTGGTCAAGGGTATCGCAAACCAACCTTGACACATGAACACATCACTTTATATAAATAAGTCGCCAAAAGGCACCATCTCAATAGAATAGAAAAAAAAGGTACAAGGTTCGGCCAATCCGTTTCGGATTTGCGAATAGTTAAAAAGTGTTATCAAATAAGCCATACTCACTGTCTGTGAAGAGCAAGTTAATAACGGAGTTGCCAGTTGCTGAACCTTCTGTGCCTTATGTCTTAATCCTCGTACTTCTTGAAGTAAAGCTTCATACTGAGACACTGGTAACGACATTACACACCATCACCTAGGTATTAAAAATGTTTTGTTAATATACTTTGCACAAACACTCCACACGAAAAAGTTTAAACAAAACAACTTGGTAAACAAAATAATATTATTGATTTTATATGGAGGGTAGTAGGTAGGGGTGTGACATGCATTGTACTGAAACGAACTTTGTAACGAAACGCGTAATTACATTAAAAGATCAATTGTAGGTGTTGAAAATTAGATAAACATAGGACTATGGGAGTTGAACTTGAATTAGAAAAATAAACAAACATGAAGTGGAAAAATTAAATGAAAGGTATAATTTACCTATTAGACATTTTCTTACTTACCATGATTGGTGAAGGGGCAAATATTAACTTATCCTTTTTTTAACTCCGATTTAAACACTTTATACAATTCACCATAATATAAAATAACATTACATACAATATTACTGTTCTGTGGTGATAACTAAAGGTAAAGAAATTATTTGGTTGGTACCAATACATCTGATTTGGTGACAAAAAAAATCCCCAACCTCTTGTAAAAATTAGTTTAATTAAATACCAATTTTATGACTGGATCAAGTGACGGCGGCTTTAATTAACACAATGAATATTAATTACATTCTAGGCATATTTTTATTGTTGTCTCCTATAAGATTCATAATATTGACATACCGTGTATTACACTGACAATGTTGCCAAATATAGAATGCTTGTTGTAGGTGTATGCAAAATGCAAATGTTTCATGACCGCCCATGTCAAAAATCTTGTATTTTGTAAAAACCATAAATAAACAGAAAGTAAAGCAATGGCTATGTTTGGGATTATAGTTTCAGGACGGCTGGTAAATTACAGTGACTAAACTGTAAATGTTTAACGAAAGTAAAGAGTACCATTTTTAGGTTAGCACAGAATTTCAGCAAATAAATGAGAAACAATTTCTTACAACAATTGTTGATGCTGACAATATTAATCATGTAGTTATATTCCTTACTGGAGCAGTGCCATTTCCAGAAGGTACATCAGGACAAGGTAGTACAATGTCAAGCTTACAATCACAGTTGGCGCTTAGTGTTTTTCAGCTGGCCCGATCCGAATGCGCCCCCAAACTGGCAACTCTTAGGTTACATTTCCAACTTGAAACCTTCGGTGATATTTCGAATTTCCAGTTTAAAGAAATTGGACGAAATGGGCGACTTTATGAACACGAGCACGTTCGGTCAACAAGCTATCTGTCATAATGCCCAAATCGGTATATCTATAGGTAAATGTTAAACATCAGTATTGTCTTGAAATATAACGCCTATTGTACAGAATCTAACGAAATCATCCAAGATGGCCCCCAACACACTGATGCCACTTCGTATGTTAACTTTGCGCAGAAAATGTTACAGAATTTTATTAACTACACGCTGAGTTATTCCATTAACCAAGCGCATATGCTGGCTGATCCCACAGCGACTTATGTTCCGTTGTCAACCGTTCAAAACTGGTATACTAACTTTGAAAGGCGTCTGACTCAAAACCCACACTTTTGGAAGTCTTAGTTTAAGTTTACTTTTGTAATTGCGTTATGGGTTCAGTTATTGTCACATTTCTATTAAAATAAAATATAAATTTTTACCAATAACAATTATTGGATATGTAATTCAAGATCAACTTATACAATATTTTCGGTGGTGGTCCTTGCAGCCTCAAGGCCTTTTTGTGCACTCTTTCTTATTCCCTTAGGATGTAAATTTCTTTGATGATATTTAGAATTCTGCATTTCTGAGTGCATTTTCTTTCCCCCAAGGAACCTGAGCCTCGACACAACCTGCAAAGTGAGTATAAGGGCAGCACAGACAACAATGTTGTCTGTAGTGGCAGGGACCTTTAGTAGAACCTTGATGGCCTTGTCTTTGAATAAAGATATTTCTTCAATATTACTAACATTCTTTATGAATGGCTTTTCGTATCATTTCCACCATTCCATTCACAATCACGGTGTAATATCACAATAAATTACTATTCCTGAAAATGGCATGTCAACTTTCTCTAGCTGGCCATACGATATACAGTAGAGGTTGATCCGCCAGTTTGAACAGTGACAGATATGTCAGTTTGATGCGTCACTGACAGACCGCGCCATTCCAAACCGACAGGTGAACCTCTCTGTGTATATGCGGCTAGCTATTTTCAAGTTATTTTCCATAAGGTAGCTCAGGTTTCGAATACACTCCAGCACTTAGCCATAGTTTTAAAACAAATCCATTTGACATAGGCTGAAAGACAACCAGGCACTCAGGGCCATATAACACATACCACGGCATACAAACGATCGTAGACAGTTTATTAAAGTTCAGTAATACAAAACCTCCGGTCATAGCTGTGGTATTCAAACAGACAGACGCACAAACAAATACAAAATGATGATTATACTTCTCAGAACTTCACTTCTTCGATTGAACTCAAACATTGATATAAACAACATTATGATTTATTATTTATTTATTTATTATGCAATTGCAGAGTGACCTGCATAATGCTGTTTAGAGGTGCCTCTGCAGAAGGTCTTAAGTTATTGTTCTATTACATATTCTATACTACTGATCTGGTATTTACCTTAACGAATTAGGAAAACTGCAGGAAAACCTAATTCAGAGTAGCCGGCAGAATGCTCGAAACTGGTCTAAGGTAATTCCCATCTCACCCACAGATGAAAAATTCACCTCAACCCAGGTTCGAACACCCGGATTTTTGTCCAATAACGCTCTAGCACTGAACCATAAAGCCGGTCCTCCGATATAAACAACACTATGATAACTTCATTGTAATTACAATTACAGTTTTGACCTTACAGTTCACTTTATTTTAACACTGCGACTTCAATCTTATTTAATACCCATAGCATTCGACTAACTTTCTTCTAAAAACCGCTTCTTCAAAAAATCAAACTGCACTTGCGTTTTCTAAAACAGCGGTAACACGTCCTCATCTTGAAATTTAATTAGCGTACGCAGCGATAACTATACTTATCGCAGACCGGAGACAAGGGCTACGCAAATAATCTCCAGATGTTCCTCATCTTAAGCCTATATATAATAACATTACAACAACAACAATACAGGGTGTACCATTTCGCGAAATGCCGGATTTCCTATAGTTTGTCAATAACATTCCATAGGTAACGGGGGCGGATCAAATATGAGTTGCTGTCGAGTCGCCTTTTGGAAGTTCAAGTTAAGTACGATTTCCCATGTAAATAAAAATTCCAAAGGCTGTCGGCAGCAACCTCATTTATGATAGCATAGTACCTATACAGGGTTATTCTTGACGAGCGTCAGTTAGAAAGATATGGAAAACCTTTGAAAATGAAAATAAACTGATAAGTTCTTTAAGGGTTTTGGCACATCATGAATTGAACTAAAATATTTTCAAGATGGCGCCACTTCCGGAAATACCGGACTTTGTTATTTTAAATAGGGACCCCCTCTTTTTTTCTACATTTTCGGATTGTACGTCGAATTTAGAGTACAACCCTTTGCTCCAAGGGCTTCGTCGATATTCAAGTTTTTATGTCAAAAATTGAATTTGCGGGGGTAATTTATTATTCGAAAACGGTGAGAGATATTGCAAAACAGTTTTCAATGCTTTATTAAGGAAAGATCGAATTTTCTTATGGTATACGAAACCATCTAAAAAAGTGAGACTACGTCACTTTTTGAAAGCTCTCAATTTTTAAATTTTTAAACTTTCGGTAACTCCATTTTTTTAAATGGCACCCCCCATTTTGTTCTTCACCGTTGTTTTCCTGTTTCCCAGACCTTTAATTTGATACAAAATGTGAAAAGCTGCTTCAAACGGTTTCCGAGATATTCCATGTTTTAGTTACTTCTTGTAGCAAATTGATAAAAAAATTAATTCCCTTGATGTTATTCTTTTGTTTTTATTATGATAATGTTTAAACGTCAAATTTGCAGGAATAACGGTATGTTTCAAACAAAAATACAAAAAAGGAAGCCTGTGGTAGACTCTGAAGAACAAGAAATAACTGCACTGGCGTATTTTGCTGCAAATCCAACTGCATCGATAATGATATCCAAAGAGAAATTGACATATCAGACACGAGTGCACAAAGAATTCTCAAAAAGCATAAATGGCACCCATATTTGTTTAAAAAAGTGCATTGCCTTTTTACGGTGGTCTACCAAAGGCTTCCTTTTTTTGTATTTTTGCTTGGAACGTAGGTACCGTTATTCCTGCAATTTTGTAGTAATTTGCGAATTGTAGCCTCTGTGGGTCGTGCCTTGTCGGGGTATCTTTCGGAAAAAAGACGGCCGCTATTCGATTACATTCACCGTGTATTAATATTAAATTCAAAAAATCTTCATTAGTGTAACTCAAACGAGCCATTATTGACGAGAAGTATAAGTACAAGCAGCGAAAATTAAATAAAAACAAAAGAATAACATCAAGCGACTTATTTTTTTTATTGCCACAAGAAATAACTAAAACATGGAATATCTCGGAAACCGTTTGAAGCAGCTTTTGACATTTTGCATCAAATTAAATGTCTGGGAAAATGGAAAACAATGATGAAGAACAAAATGGGGGGCGCCATTAAAAAAATGGAGTTACCGAAATTTAAAGGTTTAAAAGTTGAGAGCTTTGAAAAAGTAACGTAGTCTCACTTTTTTAACCGGTTTCGTATACCATAAGAAAATTCAAACTTTCCTTAATAAAGCATTGAAAACTGTTTTGCAATATCTCTCACCGTTTTCGAATAATAAATTTTTAAAATGAGTAATGACTTCTGCAAATTCAATTTTTGACATAAAAGCTTGAATATCGACGAAGCCGTTGGAGCAAAGGGTCAACTATGGGGTATCATTATACTCCAAATTTGACGTAGAATCCGAAAATGTAGAAAAAATAGGGGGTCCCTATTTAAAATAACAAAGTTAATGGCTACTTCCGGTATTTCCGGAAGTGGCGCCATCTTGAAAATATTTTAGTTCAATTCATCATGTGCCAAAACCCTTAAAGAAATTATCAGTTTATTTTCATTTTCAAAGGTTTTCCATATCTTTCTAAATGACGCTCGTCAAGAATGACCCTGTATAGCAATACCTAAATCTGTGCCAACATACAGGGTGATTCCTATAGTACCTGCCACCGTTTGGGAGCGTATAGGGGGTGCCTAGGGGAGTATTTTGATATAGGACACTTGGGGTCGGAAATCTAAAATAAGGGCGCCAGAACCAAATTTATCTTCTGGAATTTCACGCCTGTATGTAGGCACCCCAACCGACCGACGTTTCGCGCGGAGCGATGCAGAGCGAGTTAGCGCGAGGAAGCGACATGGGAGGGAAGGAGGAAAAACGACAGTCAAAAGCAATAACGTTTACAAGTGTTCAACGTGGCCACCGTTGTTCTCAATGCACTTCCTACATCTAGCCAACTATTATTATACTATTGCCATAGTGTTTATTCACCTGATACGCGTCGTTGCAGACGGGATTTCGTGGGTTTAAACAAAATTCTGATCAAGTGTCAGCCACACATCGCCGCCTGAGATCGCTCCGTGTGCACCGCCGGCCGGTTGGGGTGCCTACCTACAGGCGCGAAATTCCAGAAGGTAAATTTGGCTCTGGCACCCTTATTTTAGATTTCCGACCCCAAGTGTCCTATATCAAAATACTCCCCTACGCACCACCTACTCGCTCCCAAACGGTGGCAGGTACTATAGGAATCACCCTGTATGTGAGAGCGATAGCCAACAGTAGAATACCGATCATGCGCACTGAGTTATCAGTACAATTGACGTTCTCGGCATTTCAGTGGCTTGTTATCACAGAACAGTTGTTCTGTGCTTGTTATTTCCGTAGAACGTAAGGGGGGTTATTACCTATTTTAATCTGCATTACTTAGATTTAATTATCCTACAAATAGGTGCAATATTCAAAGAATTCGATATTTTTCAACGAATCTTTGGGCTTTGGGTGTGTACCTGTCTTGAAAGTACTGCTGCCAGGTCTTCGGGTTTTACAGGAAGTTTCTGATACATTCTACAGGCTATGGATGTACACCCCACTCCACACCAATCATTAATAGTGAGCATGACTGACCTCCCCTTCCCCTCACAGGGGAGGACTGGATATACCAGGTGGTACCAATTGCATGGATCACAGGCTATTATGATAAGCAATTAATGTTGTAGGTAATGAAAATATTGTATGGGGAATTTAGTCAGTACAAAAAAATGCATAAGGTATGGTCAAACATTCCTACCTAATCCCACTTTATATAGAACACACTGTGTATGTCCGCGTTTGCACTTTCGAAATATGATATAAATAATAAATTCTTTATAAAATATTGCAAAATTATACAAACACATTACCTATTTACTAATTACCAATTAGAGCCATATGATTGTTATAATCTGTCCTCCCAGTTCGCCCCTCCCCATAAGACCAATATAAATACATAGCTGAGCGTTCACATTTTATTTACATTATTTACACAAGTTACAATATAAAAGAATACTAAAACTACGATTCATTTTCCACTGTTTCGGAAATATTGTTAGACACATCATTGGAATCTTGTGGGTCAGTTTCTTTATTTTTCATCCAGTTCTTGGCAGCGGCAAGCAATTTGAGATTAGGTTTGCTGGCTTCGTCCTCAGGAAAGATGTAGTCGAACACTTCTTCCCAACCTTGTTCAATTCCATCTTCGTCAATAATCTTTTGCCTCTTTTTAATTCTCTTTGGCATCTTACTTTCAACTTTCGCTCTACTTTCTTCGTCTCCATTCTCCATCTCGAAATCGCGCCAATTCTCGAGCAAAAGAACTCTGGCTTCCTTTTCTGAAAAATTCTTCAATCCCTCATTCGCTTTCTCATACACGCGTCTTGCCACAAGGACGTTTAACCCATCGTCGGTTTTATTGTTCAATTCGAATTTTGCATAAGACATCCACACCTTAACGTGCTTTGTACGATCGACTAATTGCTCGTATAACTGTCGCGCATTTTCAAGTTCTTCCTGCGCTATTTCGAAATCTATATACGATTTCCATAGCAGTTCTGGCATATCCAAGCGAGGTTGACCGACTGCCAACTTGTAAATCGCACGAGCTCTAGAATAGTCACCTAATAACGTCTCCAACTCGGCAAACTTCATCCACGTAACACAATTTTCTGGACCGAACTCCAAAAATTTCTCATAGAGAATGCGGCAACGGTCAAATTCTCGCAATTGAATTTCAACGTCGATGTAGCCTCGGAACAATTTGTCTCTGGGACACATTCCGATTGCAGTACCCAAAATTTTTCTGGCCGCCATCAGATTTTTTTGTCTGATCTCAAACTGTGCAAAAAGAAGCCACATTTTGGAGAAGGTAAACAGCTTGTGAGGTAGTAATTCTAAACAGGCTTTATAAACTTGCCGTGTACGATCGAAATCGCGAGCTTCCAGCTCTTCAAATAATGCGTAGTTTATCCATAAGTAAATATACCGCCTCCAAAACTGTTTATTCTTTGTCGGTGGTATGTTCGCGATTGCTCGTTCGTATGTTTCCCTAATAACATCGTCGTCACCTTCACTTTCAATAAGTCTTAAATAATCGAACCACGCATCATAATTTGTTGGGTTTTGCGCAATTTCTTGTTCGTATTGAAACTTACGTTTGGATACGATTACATCTTCAATTCCGCTGCGATCGCCATATTTTTTCTCGTGTATTGTGTACGCTTTAAAGAGCTCCTTGGCTTGCTCTTTAGGTATATGCTCCAAGGCATATTTGTAAATAATCCGAGCACGCTCGTGCTCCTTATGATTTTCCTCAAATCTCGCAAATGCGATAAACAAATTTTCGTCCAAGTGATCATCACCATAAAAGTGTATGGCACGTTCAAACGTACGACGCGCCGAGTTGATAAATCCGTGGTTATCTTCGAATTTGGCGTATTTAATCCAATGTTTTACTTGTGGATGAGTGATGACAAAGCGTTCGTAAATTTGCCGGGCTCGATCGATTTCTTTATACCGTAACTCAAAGTTGATGTAAGTTTGCCAGGCTTGCTCATCGGGCTCCCACTCCATCCAGCGTTCAAAAACCGCACGAGCACCTGGAATATTCTCCAGCATTTCCTCCATATACGTATACTTATACCAAAATTGGTTTATACGCGGTAAAATGGTAACGGCACGATCAAACAAATTGCGGGCATGATTCACTTGACGATTACGCATTTCCATCTCGGCATATTTTAGCCATAAAGTAATATTGCGATGGTCTATATCTAAGCCTCTCTCAAAAACGGAACGTGATCTTTGAATTTCCTTTTGCGATTCCTCCCACAAGGCGTACTTAATCCAGTTAGACATTACCGTGCGATTCTTCCTTATGTTGTCTTCGAAAGTTTTTCGTTTACGCATTTGGTAATCTGCTAATTCGGCGGGATCTGAAATTTTCTGCTTCGGGGGTGGAGGTAGAATTTCCAAATCACGCTCTTTCGCTTCACGGAGAAGCTGCTCGGCGGTGATTTGGATTTCCGCAGGAGCTTTGTTTTTCACCTGAAAGAACCGATTATTGTTTAAAGCACGAAAATCAAGTAATGGGACCACTTTATTTACCTTCGCCACTTTCGGCATCTTCTGTGGTTTAGTCTCCATTGTGTTCTTCTTAGCGCTTAGGTGTTTCGTACTACACAAGAAAGTAATTTAATGTTTTTTACTGTACACAACTCCAGTCAACAGGCAGCCCACGACCAAACACAGAATGTGAGGTTATGTATGGTGGAAAAGTTGAGATGATGTACAAGGCGTTACCGTATTTTCGGCCCAAAACCGTTAAACCATTGTATATACAGTCTGCTTTCTTCTCAAAATGGGGTGGGATGAATAAAGTTTGTTTTCGTGTTAACTTTAAACAAGCTTTACTATTGCTAACTTTTTTAGTTGTAGAAAGACGGTTTAATGATCACAATTGTGTATTTTTTGTACTTAATCTACATCTGTAACCATCAAAACAAAACGGCATAGCATACGCACGCCTAAGATTAGTATTATCTTTGTGTGCTTGATGGTGTCGTGGTGAGTTGCCCATGAAATATCCTCCGTTCCCAGCCAATGTTGTACATTACCTAAAGATACATATGACACATATGTCTATGGAAGATACACACGCTTAGAATGAAGAAACGCTGCGTGGGACGTCGGAAGAAGAACAGCAAAGTCGAATTCTTTTGACACTTGCAAGCGATATGGTGTTTAGCAGCGCAATGTATCAAAACTCGTTCAAGAACTTTCCTCCCCCATACACAGGTAGGAGTTTTTTACTGGCTGAAATAATCTGAGATTTGATGGCGACATTCATTTTCCAATATAACTGGCTAATAGAACACTGATCGGTCACACAAAAATGCACTGAAGTTCCTTCGATCTCACATGAGGATTTTTAGTATAAAATAAAAAATTTCAATTTTCATATAAAACTTTTGATTAATAATATATATAATAATTTATTCAACAAGCTATATAAAAAAAATGTGTATACACAACATACAAAAACAATAAAATTACAAAAAACTCACATGCTTGTTGAACCTCAAGGCGAAGTTCAGGTTGGTCACAAGTAACCTCCTGCTCTTCCACTTAACCTTGTTTCAGTATATATATTTTTTTATTAGATCACCACTTCTAAGTAAATCTACCTATTTTCTTTTTCCCTAAATACATCAAGGATTGGAATGCTCTCCTTAGTTTGTGTTGCATTTTTCTGTCTCAGTACTAAAACCAACTATCATACCAAATGTTTGAATAATAGTCTCTTGAATGTCTTGTGATCCAAAGTGCTACATTTTAGAACAGATGGAACAGAATTATATACATAGGCGACGTTATAAGCAAATGACCGGCGAAAAGATGATAGAGAATGACGAGGTATTGACAATAAACCGCGGTACCTTAAATTTAAATGATGTAAATCTGTTCTAAATTGAATTAGGCCATATAGGTAAGGTGGAGATTGCGTCATAATTATTTTAATGTCAATCTGTCAGTGATGGCAGGGGTCATTATAGACATTTAGCAGTGTCAGCTGTCAGCTGCAGCCTGTACGGCGACAGGTGCGGTGCGGCATCAAAATTTGGATTTAATAACGATTTCGAGAAAATAAATTTCCAAAAATGTACTAAGAAATTATCAAAGTCCTTGTGTGAGATCGAAGGGACTTCAGCGCATTTTTGTGTGGCAGATCCGTGGTTTAATAGCCAGTGTTGACTCCACCATCATAAAAGGTCTTGTCCAAGACTACCACATTCACTTTGTCGGTACCCGCTTCCCACTTTCCGCGTGTACCCGCAATTCGCGTTTAAAGTTTTGACTCCACCATCAGTAAAATCTTGTCGGGGGCTACCACATTCCCTTTGTTTGTATCCACTTCCGATGTCCCGTTCCCTCCCAATTCGCGTTTGAAGATTTGACTCCGCCATCAGTAAGATCGTGTCGGGGGCTATCACAGTCCCTTTGTTGGTACCCACTTCCGACGTCCCGTTCATCCGCAATTCGCGTTTGAGGATTTGACTCCGCCATCAGTAAGATCGTGTCGGGGGCTATCACATTCCCTTTGACGGTACCCATTTCCGACGCCCCGTTCACCCGCAATTCGCGTTGGAAGTTTTCACTCCACCATCAGTTAGATCTTGTGGGAGGCTACCGCATTTCCTTTTGCGGTACATAGTTATATTACACCCACATTTTGGTGGATTTCGCTAAAAACCTTCCACAAGATAGTACTTAATTTTTGGGGCACTTCTCATTGCTCGAGCTTCTATTGGCGACACGAGAAAGAGAAACACCGATTCGAGATTTACGAAACGTTAAACCGCGTGACAAAGTTCGCAACGGAAGGTAAAAGGCGCCTGAAGTTCACTACCTCTCGAAGGCGCGCGTGCGCCTCGCAAAAGGTCGTTAATTCCGCCCTTAGGACAAAAAACAAAATTCCGCCACGCAGAAGTTGTGCGTGTTTACAACATCTTTCCGGCGACACCAATTTGAAAAGAATCGGACCAAAACTGTAGTAGAAGATAGGAAAAAACTGAAAATCCTCCACGTTAATAAACTACGCTCGAGGATGACGCCCAGATGTTGCCAACCCCACATCATGTAGCCCTGTCCCTAAGGTTGACAAATTACACGGCCTTGTAGATACACGTACATCCGTTGCCTTTCTACAAGAGTTCTTCTATTCGCCCACATTTGCTGCCATCCAGCCGGCCAGCCAGCCAGCCAGCCAGCCAGCCAAAGTGAGATTAAAAGCTACTTTTTACAAATACATTTTGAAAAAATGCCTAATAATACAAACATTGGTCGAATTTTTTCATTTGCGAAACGTTTGTGTTTAGACAACTCCCATTGCACCGCAACAATACATTGAGTGTAATAAGAAGATGCTGGCATTCTTTATGGTTTATATCAACGGTAATTGAATATGAATCGTATTACATACGAAGTTATCACAAAGCGATTGGTCTACCTTCATTCATTAAGAAAGAAATTAAATTAGAATTTTAATATTTGGAACTTAAAATTTGTTATTGGTAAATCATGCATAGATGGAGCGAGCTATCGTGAAATGAAAAGAAACACCACTGGTTACGTACGGTTGTTGAAACAGTACTCTGCCTTATCACTGTCAGTGAAGGTTCAATGGCGTGTTCGTGTTAGTAGCTCTCTCGTTTGTCTCGTAAGAAAGTTGTTTATTTAGAAATATGACTGTAACTGGCATTTTACCATCTTACCAAAGATTTGTGAATGGAGTGCCCGTACCGTTTTCGAGGAAATCGTTTCGCCAGCGCGAGAAATATATAATTTTTCTAGTATTTATTACGTTCGGTTTTGTGTGTTTTGGTACATTCTTTTTCCTGCCCGAGTTCAAAGGCTCGAAAAGTACAGCCGAAAGTGTTTATCAGGTTTACGATAAAATAAAAAGAGCAGGGCCGGAATTGCTAATTCCTCCTCCGCCGCACCTGGACGACGAAAAGGATTCCCTCAAAATACCTGTAATTAGGCACGATGCCGAAGATCAAATTGATCCTCACATTATAGACGATAAGGCTAAATTGCAGGCGAAAATTGAACAGGATGAACAACTTAAAGTCCTTGAAAGGCCCGATATGGAAATTAACCTAAATAATGACAATCATAAAAAAGTGTCGTCTACCAGTAAGCCTATCGTTCAAATTGCCGAGGAGGAAAAACGGGACCGGGACGTTAACGAAAACGCTATTGTGACAGTGCCACCAGCTATCAGCAATCACTACCCCCAAATTCGAGGAGGCGAAGATGAGGACGAGGAAACCAGGCAACGACGAGACAAAATTAAAGAGGTAGGAATGTTTAATCAAATTGTTTACGTTTATGTAAAAGAAAAGCGTGGAACTTGAACTTTAAAACAATTGCGTTCGTGCAACTTTTTCATTCAAGGCAAGGGTATCTCATTGTTATGGTCACATCACAGGTGTAATAAACTAAACTCACGGAGTATTTCAGAATTTCCGTTCTCACTATTTTATATAAATAAATACAAACTGGGCCACGTATTTCTACGTTGGCTCTTATCGGATGTTTTTCATGACGTTTAGCTCAATATGCTAAGCTGTAAGTACTGTAGGTAGGTACCAAAACGACACGTAATCACGGCGAATTCAAATTCACCCTTGCCTTTGTTTGGTATTGAAAAACAATGCCGAAAACACCTGACAGTTATTTTATAATTTTAGGCAATCGCAAATCTGAACACAGAGATATAACAGAAGATCTCGAAAGATTAACCGCTTCCGTTTTTAGAAAATACAGGAAAATTATGTGGCCTCCTACGACCCTCCCTTTTTTTGTTTTTTTTTTTCAGTTCCTATAATGCGAACAGATTTCGGTAAAGTAACACGTGTTCGCTGAAATTTTTTCGGTTTATCCGTTTAACTATAAGTACGAATAATCGCCTAAATTATGCCGTACATAATGAAATTCCTTGAAATTTTTTTTGTTAACATTTTCTTAGAGCAGCGATTCTCAACCGCCCCTGTGAGAACGTGATGAATTTTTAATGTCCCCCTAATGTGAGAATCTCGCAAGATATGTTTGTAAAATATTCGGCATTGAAAAAATGTGTTACTCTAATTGTTAAATATGTACAATCGAGTGTACAATACAATGAATTTTAATTTAGAAGTCGTGTGACGATTTTGCGGTGTCTGTCCGCCTGTCCGTTAACAGGATATCTCGAAAGCGAATGGACCGATTACAATGAAAATTTGCAGGTGGATTTTTTTATCAAATTTGTAGATCGGTGTTCGTGAATTGGCAATGTAGGCCAAAAAATCAGGAAGGCTCTTTTAACACCTCCGTTAGTAATAAACCGAATTGCATGAAATTCAAAATGAGAATAGCTTTAGCCGAGGCTTTAGCCATATAATACGCAATACCAAGCTATAGTCCTCGCCTCGGTCCTCGCTATAGCCATACCCAGGAGCCAGGAGCTCGTTTGCTATATTTGTTTAATTTATTATAATCTTACCACAAGGTAAGATGAGGGGAAGGCAATTAAAAACCGAGGGGTTAGTCGGTGTGGTAATCTTTCGTACACATGACTGGTAGTCACTGGTATTCCCGTGGTAGTCTCTGGTATTCCTGCGGTAGTCTATGGTAGTCACTGGTATTCCGAAGGTAATCAGTGGTATTCTCTGGTATTCCCGTGGTAGTCAATGGTAATCTCTGGTATTCCTATGGTAGTCAGTGGTAATCGCTGGTTTTCTGGTGGTAGTCTTTGGTATTTCTATGAGCATTTACTAACTTTTTTATTATTTTCCATTTTGCTTGTATGTAGGTATTTCCGGCATAAACTATGGTTTTTATGATTTTGTCTATCAAATCGCAAACTTTTTAAATTAATTCGATTGATTGTTGCAGTGCTGGTTATTGAAGGTGACGATTCAGTTTTAAAGATGGTAGCGATTCAATCAGTAATAATGTATTTGTGTTGTGTGTTTAAAAACATGCCTAGGTCGAGGCCAAGGTTTCCATGATAATCACATATATCTTAGATCTGGATCTAGACCCTTTTTAGAAGATGATCTTGTATCTAGATCTAGATTATATTATAATAGATCTTCCACTAGTAGATCCAAAGATCAATTTTAATTATTTACGTTATAAATGTTTTTAACATTGGAGGAGTAAATCGTTGTCTATATTTAAAGAATAAAATACTGTGTTCCATTCAAGTTTTTGGGTTTTAGTGGGAATAGTCATTAGCACAACGGGCAGTTTAGCTTAGGGGGTAGTATCGGTAATTGTTTACATCACAGGGTGAGTCAACGATTGCGCGGAGTAACTTAATGCCTTGAAGATAAGATTTTTCGATAGAGTGCTTTTGTATTATGATGCGGTTGAATATTCTCCACATTTTAAAAATATTTGGAATTATATAGGGTGCACCCACAAAGTAGGGCGTCTAAATGGTACATTTTTTAAATAGAACCCCCTGTATATGAATGCATTTTTCAATTCTACGTGTAATTGTACGTCTTTTTTATTATATGATTAATATCCGAAAAGCTAGTAGTTTTAAAGCGAGTTTTAAAGATAATTCGATTTTTAAGAAAAATTGGGTATTTGCAAGCGTCAGTATATACGTCAAAATTATTACTTAAATTTTGATTCCAGGTTTTATATCTTTTATCACGAGTTAAGTAAAAGTCAAATGAATAATCTACTATGAAACATAAAAAATATACCTTACAGGGTGTTTTTCTTGGTAGGTCCAAAGTTACAAAACTTCATATTAAAAAATCTCACTTTTTTAACTGGAATGCCCTGTATATTTTTCTGTCATCATTTAGATCCTCCAAAAACCTTCAATTTTTGATAATAATGTCCCTATACCTATCTCTGATAGTTTTCGAAATATCTGAATTTTCCTGGGTTTTATAGTCTAATCTTAAATACGTTATATGTAATTTACATAATAGTGAGGTGGATATGCAAAAAAAAGGCAACTTTTATCTATCTCGTCCAAAACGAAAATCATATTGATTAATTTATTTTTTAAACTATTTTAAGTCCAAAAACTGGAGAATAAGTAAAAACATTTGACTATAAAGCAAATTTAATTTAACTCCTAATGTCATCCAGTCAGTGATATTAGTTTCATTTTTTTTTTCATAATTCACCTCGTTATTATGTAAATTAGAACTTATTTCAGATTAAAATATAAAAAGTAGAAAAACCAACATATTTGTTTATGTTTTTACTATCAAATTTATTCGCTAGTTTTTATAGACTTAAACGAATTATTAGAAAAATGAATTAATAAATATGATTTTAGCTTTGATCGAGGCAGATAAAAATTGCCTTTTTTTTGCATGGCCACCTCACTATTATGTAAATTAAGTACATATAACTTATTTAAGATTAGAATATAAAACCCAGGAATACCAAGATATTTCGAAAACTATCAGAGATAGGCATAGGACATTATTACCAAGAGTTAAAGGTTTTTGGAGGAGCGAAATGATGACAAAAAAATATACAGGGTGTTCCATTTAAAAAAAGTGAGATTTTAATATGAAGTTTTGTAACTTTGGATCTAGAAAAAACACCCTGTAAGCTATTTTTTTAATGTTTTATAGTAGATGTATTTATTTGACTTTTACTTAACCCAGGATAAAAGATTAAAATTTAAAAAATTTAATTAATAATTTTGACAATATACTGACGCTTGCAAATGCCCAATTTTTCTTACAAATCTAATTATCTTTAAAACTAGGTACTAGTTTTTCGGATATTAACCAAATAATAAAAAAGACGTACAATTACACGTAGAATTCAAAAATGCATTCAAATACGGGGGGTTCTATTTAAAAAAATGTACCATTTGGGCGCCCTACCTTGTGGGCGCACCCTGTATAATTCCAAATATTTTTACAATGTGGAGAATATTCAACCATATCATAATACAAACGGCTCTATCGAAAAGTCTTATCTTCAAGGCATTAAGTTACTCCGCGCAATCGTTGACTCATCCCTCGACTCACCCGGTACAACTGATTCATGGGCATGCCGCCGCCAGGTCTACCCGAATTATCCGAAAAACACGTTATTGTTAAGTAGGTAAGCACACCACTTTGCCTTAAGTAGTAATTCAGATGTAGGCGGTTATTATAATTTTCAAAGAAGGACTTTTTCGCATAATTTTTCTTGCTGTTTTGCGAATTTTGCATAGATAAAAGAAAAACCTGAAGGGGTTACACAGAATGAGATAAGTACCTAAGCATTTTCCGAATAATGAATCAAATCCACCCATGTAAATCAGATTTACCTATGGAGGATCTATAAAGGATCTAGATCATTTTAGGACGATCTTGATCTAGGTGCGGATCTTTGATCTGGATCTAGATCTAGAATTTTAAAGGATCTTGCCCAACATCGGTCGCAGTCCAGATACAACTCCTTATCTCGCTGCCACCTGTGTGGTAGTCTGGAGTAGTCACTGGTATTCATGGGGTAGTCTTTGGCAACTGGTAGTCTTTCGTACAACATTTTGCTCATGTATTACCCCCTCGCCGTGGACATATCAGCTTAAAGACGACAACAATCATAAGTGTGGTATTTGGAATGCGAAAGACCTGAAACTTATTTGTGATGGATATGAAGGAGAAAGTTAATGTTGCTTCCTTTCGGGTTTTGTTGCTTTTCTTTTAATTGTTTTTGTTTCTTTCTTTTTGTGATCCTCTTCTCCGCCACAAACTTTGTGATCTCATCCATCACCTCAAATCACTTTTTTGTTATCTGTGGGGTTTTCTATTTTTTTTATCAAAAATTATATATATCTCTCTTTTCCTACTGACTCTCTGGTTCTTTTGCTCATACTTCCAACAGTGGGGGATTTCGATCGTGAGGATTCTCTTTATCCCCGCCCGTACACGTCGGTGTGATAAGTAACAAGTGAAGATTTAGTGTCATTCACAAGAGTCCAAATAGTGTTTCAAACACCCTTAAATTTTATTCACCTGTCCATATGCAACTTTTTTGCATGCTTACTAACTTCACACGAAACCTGGATGAAATAATAGCAACTTCCATTGCGTATTTTATTTAATGTTGCAGGGCGGTTCCAGCATTCACTTGAAAAACCTCATAAGATTTATTAGAAATGTGCGTTTTAGCGGCTTCGCTTATTTTGTTTAAACACTCGCGGGTTCAATTTGTAATCCTGACCATCTTTCATGCGAACCTTTTTCTGTACTTAATAAAAAGGCGTTCAACCCTACTATAATCGCTTTGATCTCCCCGAATCTCTAATCCTCACCTTAATACTTCACATGAGTCTTTGTTAACCTGTTATATGTGACGTGTAATTACTCCGTAACTCGCGTAGATCGCGGTG